GGGCCTCCCGGGGCCTTGCCGACCTGGACACGGCCACCTCCGCAGTGTGGTTTTAAGTCCCAGTGGTGACGGTCGCGGGAACCTCTCCGTTTTATTAAGGCACAAAAAGAACGGGGAAAGTTCGTGCCAGGCCTGGTGGGATGGCCGGACTCTGGGCCAGGCTCGTATGCTCCTCACGGGAGGAACGAATCGGTTAAAAAAGCATCTTTTCTCTCTCTCTCTCTCTCTCTTTTTTTCTTTTTTTTTTTTTTTCTTTTTGCTTTCTAAAATGGCTTGTGACTCCAGGCAGCGAGGAGCGCTAGTCAAAGGATCCCGGGCAAACTGGCTCAGAAATCAGCTGCCGGGCGTGGAGGCGGGCGGGGTGACGTCACCGCCACCTTGGCCGGGCCACCGTAACCGACCTGACCCGGCCTGCAGCCGCTGCGGCCTCAGGGCTTCCGCCTCCTCGGTCCTGGGCCCTGACCTCCCAGCGCAGAAACCCCGAGCTCCCTACAGAGCCAGCTGCGGGTAGGAAAGACACTTTGAGAAGGAAAAGCCAGCACTGCCCAGCCACCTGCCCCTGTCCCCGCCACCAGAGACACGGGGCCACCAAGACCTCAGAAATCACGAGAGGGGCAACTGTAACAGAGGAAGCCGGTGGTCAGGGGCTGGCGGTAACCCCGAGGGAGTACTCTCTGCTCGGGCAAAGGTAAAGGATGCATGACCTGAGGAGGGGTCCCTGTGCCAGGTGAGGCGTCCCGCCCCTATGCTTCTGCGCCTGCTGCCCAGGAGCATGGCCCCCTCCCGGTACTGCGCGCAGGCGCTAAAGTCAGTGCTGTCTGAGGGGTCACGACCAGTGACCCATCTCACCCCGGTGGCTTTGATCTCCCTGGGCCAAGGGGCTGGCCTGCCCTCGGCTCCTCTGAGCTGACCTTTCTTGTCGTTGAGGGCCATGAGGGGGTTCTTCATGTCCTGAGCCCCCATTTTCCCATGGGTATCGCCTTCTGACTTCAACCTGAATCAGGCCAGATTTTGTGGGGCCTGAAGCCTTGTGAGGGAGCTTGGGAAAGAAAAGCAATGAAAGGACACTCACAGCCCTAGGTAGGTCCCGTTGGCAGGGCCCAGGGTACGAAGGGACGAAGGGACGAAGGGACGTGGGAACGGGCTTCCAGGTGAATCCACTTGTGTCCAGGACTCGGAGTCCTCGTCTTCCTGTGACGTTCAGGTTCAAATTCAGTGACCCCCAAGTCACCTGATCTTTCTCCAAACTAGCACTCTTCCCATCCCCCAATTCCCCAAACCCCCTGCTTTATCTAAAACTCAGCTTATTTTTCGTCAATATTTCTCAGAGGGCACATGTGCTCAGCAGAGAGACAGAGAGAGGCAGAAAGCGCCCCCAAGCGAGGTCGTGCCCACGTGGCAACCCCTTCTCCCCATCTCTCCATCCTGTGGGATTTGTGGCAGACACTCATGCCGGATGTGTTTTCCAGAAGCTGGGGCCGGATTCAGACCCGTGTGGTTGGCCATGTCGGATCTGACTCAACCCCCAGAACACAGGGCTACCCTTTTTATTTTTAAAGATTTTTGCCATGGGTGCCATTTTTGCTCACCGGAGAGGGACACAGAGAGACAGAGACAGAGGGGAAAGTAAGAAATCACCCCCGATGGGGGATGGCCACGCTACAATCCCTTCTCCTCCTTTCTCTTTTTGGGTTTTTGGGCATGCATGCACACACACCTGGCGTGTTTTTCAAGCCACCAGGTCTGGGTCACAAAGGGTCCACAGGTTTGCGGAGCTGGCCACGTGGGATCCACTGCCTTAACCTTCATGCCGCCTGCTGGCCCCAGTTTTAAATTTGAAATCCTGGCCTTTCTTTTTTGTTTTTGTTTTGTTTTGTTTTGTTCTTTTTTCTGTCTTAAATTCTTTTTTTTTTTTTTTTTATTTTTTTTTTTTTGGGGCCTTTTTCACTCTGGGGGGCAGCCGCGCGCACAGACAGAGACAGAGAGACAGAAAGTGAGAAATCACCCCCCAGGGGGGATGGTCACGCCGCAATCCCTTCTCCTCTATTCTCCTCTCGGGATCTTGGGCACGCACGCACACGCACCCGACGTGAGATTTAAGCCAGTGGGTCCGAGACACGAACCACGGTCGACTACGTGGGAGTCCAGCGACATAGCCATTATGCTAACTGCTGGTTCCCTGTCTTAAATTCTTTATGTTTAAGTATTTGCAAGATATGCTGCTCTGTCCCAAGTAATTATCACTGCCATCACGCTAGCCCCGGTTAGGGAAGGGGACCCAGCGTTGAGCTGCTGTTGGCCATGTGAAAGGCCCCAGAGCCGATGCTCACAGTAACCCCAGGAAGCCCCCCGTCACGTCTGGCTTAGAGAGCTCCCTACTGCTTGCACCCACACCTCCGCCCACAGCTCTGCAGCCGGTCACTGTCTGGAGAAGTCTGATTTCACCGCGTTACTAGCCTATTCAAAACCTTCTGTGAAAGGACTTCACCAAGTTCCTGGAGGGCCCGACCAGAATGCAGCAGAAGTTAGGCCTTATGCAGAGGAAGCGGGTCCCACGTGGCTGACTAGGGTTCAAATCCTGGCCCTGGTGGAAGGACGGTGTCATGCGCGTCTCAGGATCGTACGGGGATGGACAGCTAGAGGGAGAAGGATCGCGGTGTGACCAGGCCCTGCCGGGCGTTCGCAGTCTCCGTCTCGCTCGCTCTCATCCCTTCCTCCTCTCCCTTCTCGTAGGAGCATGCACATGCCCTCCAGCAAAAAAAAACAAAAATTTAATTCAAGGCCAGCAGGTAGCGTAGTGGTGAAGGCAGCTGGGTCCCACATGGCCAGCTGCCTAGACCCAGCAGCTTGGAAATATGTCAGGCACATAGGTCCCAGCAGGTGGTTAAGGATGCTGGACTCCCACATGGCTGACCGTGGTTCAAGTCCCGGACCTAGCAGCTTGCTTTCTCACTTTCCCTCTCTCTCTCTTTATCTCTCACTCTGTCCCTCTCTGGTCAAATTTAAATAAATAAATAAAGTTAAATAAAAATTATCCTTTAAAAAAAAAAAAGGAAAAGGGACCAGCAGTTAGCGTAATGGCTATGTCGCTGGACTCCCATGTAGTCAACGGTGGTTCGAGTTCCGGAACGGTGGGTCGAGTTCCGGACCCGGTGGTTTAAATCTCACGCCAGGTGCGTGTGTGTGCATGCGTGCCCAAGATCCTGGAAGGAGAATGGAGGAGAAGGGATTGCAGCATGGCCATCCCCCCTGAGGGGTAATTTCCTGCTTTCTGTCTCTCTCTCTCTGTCTGTCTGGCGAGCGCATGCGCCCTATAGCAAAAACCTCTCAAAAAAAAGAAAAAGAAAAATATATCAGGCACATGTGCGTGTGTGCCCAAAATCCTGACAGAGGGTTGAAATGAGGGAGAGATGCTTTCTCTCTCCCTCTCTTTCCAGTGAGCATGCATGCCCTCTAGCAATTTTTTTTTTTTAATTCACGGAAAAACAGAATTAAAGTAAGGGTTTATTTGGGTGTAAGAATGTTTGAAATCCATGTATATTTTTTCACAATATATATTCCATCCCCCCCTTTGTCAGGTTTTTGTCATGGAGCAGATCCGCAGGCTGGTGAGAGGCAGGAAGAGAGTGAAAGTGAGCGATCCCCCGGGGGTGGCCATGCCACAATCCCTTCCCCACTCTCTTCCTGGGATCTTGGACACACACCCACGTGTACCCAGCATAATTTTCCAGCTGCAGTTCGAAATTGAAACTGTGATCAATTGTATGGAATCTCCAGCACCTTAACCACATGCCACCTGCTGGCCCCATGTTTCCCCCTTTTTAAAAGTTTATTTATTTATTTCTTCCAGCAGAGTCTTGTGGCCACAATCCAGCCCCC